TCTTTTCAATTTCAGTTCTTAAATTCATCAATCAATCCTTTTATTTATGTGATAGGCCTGCATTTAAAATGAACATTTACCATAAATTAAAGGTATCTTATATTATTAGATATATTATTATAAAACATGCTTTAGTTAAGGAGTTATTGATATTTCAAGTGCAAAATGATGATATAAAACCTTGATAAAAATGCACTTTTAAGTACTAATCACCCATCTTCTCCCCATTTCCTAGACAAAAGCCACCACCCCCCTCTTTTGGCAAAAAAAACTAGAGAAAACCCTGCAAAAATACACAGAAGTCGGGGCCCCCTCTTTGGCCATCTGACCTTTTCTTTCTCGACCGCCCCTCCCTTTGAGAAAACAGACCCTTCCCCCATTTCCCAAACAAAAGCCCCCCCCCCCCCCCCCACTTGTATATTTGGTGTCCATCTTCTTTCTCCCAGCACCAAACTAGTTCTCTAAGGTAGCCTTCACCTAATTTTCCTCTCCTGATCATCAACACAGTGACCACCCCTCATATATTAGGGGGGTTTTCTCCTTTTTCCTCTCTCGAAATAAGCCAAAGCTTCACCCTTCCCTTGGCAAAAAACAGAACCAAAGACCCAAAGCTTTCCCCCTCTTTCTCTAGTTTTCTCCATGGACCAGCCAAGGCCACCCCCTCACTCTCCTCTCAGTCGGTCTTCGCCGTCAGCAGCGACATCCCCTACAGACTCACAAGACAGCCTTGGCTCTTTTCCTCATCGTCGTTGTCTCTAGATCTAACCAACCCTTCTCTCAACCACCGACAACACCGCCTAGCAGCCTGCAGGCCCTCGTCTTTGCCAAGATCGGAACCGATCGCTAGTAGCTGTACAGACACGACATGAACCCATTCACTTGTAGTCCCTTGGTCATGGCACCGGCCACTTAAAATAGAAGAAGAGGAAACAAAAAACTTGCAGAGAGAGCAATAGATTTGAGTAAGTTGAAGGAAGAAGAGCCAATCTGAAAACAAAACTAAAACAGACTTGCTTGTTGTGTTTTTTGATGTTTTGTAGGTAACGGCGTTGCCCACAACCGACAGGAAGGTGAAAAGGGGAGGAAGCCATTACGAATCTCTACACGATCTCTGGATTTCGGGCAGTACGTGAACTCAAGCGTCACCAGTTGTAGTGGCGCATGGAGGAGATGCGCTGCTACTGTTCAACAAATCACATAAGATGCCCAGGATTTTCCAGCACCGTTCCTGAAGCTTTTTTTTTTTATTTTCAAATGTTGTTGTGTATATTTAGATACTGTTATGTTTTGATTTATTTGATTTTTTTTGTTACATGGTAGCATGTAATTAGGGGTGAGTAAGCATAATAAAAAGAGATGTCTGTGTGTGTGTTTGTATTTTTATTTATGTTATGAAATTATAAAAATAAAAAAAATAACAAAAAGAATTAAGTGTTTAATTTGAATAGCGTTAAATATCTCAAGGATAAATAAAATTATGTTATATTTTTCATGAAAATGTAAGAACATGTTTCTACATATATTCTGGGATTTAATAATTGATTTATTAAAGCCTTAGAATTTGATTAATACTTCAAAATTTTAAATCATATCAAATCACAAAACAGCTTTTCTTAGGTAGAGTATATTAGGGGTGCTAATATTTTTCCTAACCATAACCAGTCTCTTACCCTTGAATCTTGGGTTTTCTAGTAACTTTTAATTAAATATTAGGTGGCAACTCCTAAAAAATCAAATCAAGCAAAAGAACAAAAATCACCAACGGATGGCGCGCGGGTGATGTGTAACACCTACAAAAACAATAAAAATATTAAGGATAAAATTTAGTATAAAAGACTCAAGGAGGATGCAATAAAAAAAATAAAAAAATAATGTGAAATAAAATAAACTGCAATTAAAAAAATAAAAATTAAATTTTAAAAACAAAAAATTATAGCAATAAAATAAAAAAATATTTGTAAAAAGCAAGAAAACCAAGGCTAATCTATGTCAAATTGAGTCTTCGACTACAGTAAAATCTCCTTCATTTTTAATTTAAAAAAGTGTCTAAAAATAAATCTAAACAAGTTGAACAAGTTTTATTTTTAATCAAATTATTAGATCAGGGTAGCTTATACCCACAAATGTTATAAATATGCTTAAATTAGATATGAAAGATATTGTTTTAAATTATTTTATTTTTTAGTTATTTTCTAATTTCGTTTCTTATTTTCGTTGTTATTTTATGATTCTTTTTAACTTATGTTGGTTTAGCCACTATTCAAACGATTTTGTAAGTTATTTCATAATAGATAATTATTATTGTATTTAACAGCCTATTAACACTTAAGTTTCTCTTCAGTTTAATCAATAACCTCACGGATTGAGAAACCATAGTTCTTTTGTTTCGCTATACATGCTTCACTAGTTTACTTGAAAACTTGTGTTCAACAGCCGTTTTTAATTTTTTTTTTTTCCTAATTTGTGGGTGTGTTCGAAGCTATTTATGTCGTTATCAATAATAAATTATGGGTTTAACTTAAATTGTCCTCTTATAAGTTAATTTGAAATTTAAAATTAACTTGATGACAATGGAGTTGCTTTAAAATGTATTCACCAACTTTATTTCATTTTTTGTCAGCACTTTCAGTATAGGCTATAACGACGTAGCAATTGGTGATCATGGGTTAAAACGTGGTCGTTGAGAGCTTCGTGTGTTTAATCTCATCGAAGGAATTTAAGTCTTTCCACTATTAACTAGTGCCAGGATGCCCGTTTCTTGGTACAAGACATTCTAGTTTCTTGGTACAAGATATTCTATGGCCTGTTCTTCGTTTACGAGACAAGAACAAGGTTTGAAATCCATGGTTGATACAATACATCTTTACCTTGCCAATTATTTAGAAATAAATATTTAGGATTGTTTCTCTCTTATTTTTTTATGTTTTTAATATTTAGAAAAATCATCTAAACACTCTCAATTTATTTTATTATTATTATTTTATTAAAATAATATTATCCTTACTTTGTGTAGAATAAAAAATGTAATGGACTCTAATAACCCTGATTACTCGATCCAATCCATGACTTCAAACATTATAGGATTGATTTTTGAGTTAAGTTTTAAAAACATTAAAAAAAATATAAACACTAAATATAAAATGAAAATCTTGAAATTAAACAATGAGTAATGAAATTAAAAAAAAAGAACAATTAATCATTAATCAAGAAAAAAATTCAAAATAAAAGAAATTACAATCATAAAAATGGATTAAATTTAACATAAAAAATTAAAGTAAATTGATTATGGATTAAATCAAAAAACAAATTCCAATAAAAAAAGATTAAAAGCAAAATAAGAAAAAACAAAAAAATGATAATTAAATTTGATAAAAATAAAGAAAAAATTAAATGCAAAGAAATAAAATTAATTAATTAATTAATATAATTTAATATAATTAAAAGATTGAGAATAATTTTATAACTTTGTAAAACCAACACATTTTGTGAGGTGAAGGAAAAAAAAATCTTCATTAAAGCTTTATTGTATTGCACCTGTCGGCATGTATCAGTCCATGATGTAGAGGGCAACACGACACTTCGATTGCCATCACTAAAAACCAATAATGGCCACCGAAAAACACCTTATAAGCTTCCCAAAAAATACCAACATCTTCTAATTTTTTTTAATTATATAAACATCAGAACACTCCACGTGATAATTTAAAAAAACTATTCAGGTTAAAAAGTTGAAAATACTCCTTATTCCTCACTCTAAGATGAAATAACATGAATAAACCATCTAACGCAATCTAGAAATTGAATGAAAACAATTCACATATATACTGCTGCATGCAAATTGTGTACATATATCTCCTGCCACGCGTTCTTGCATGCAAAAACAACTCCCCTGCAATGTCAGAAACGTGGAGGCAAGCGATATGCAACACTAGTCAAATATGGACACACACATATACACATGGTATAAGCTCAAACATCAATGTAAGAAATTAACGACTCAACGAATCCAGAAAAGCATAGTCATCAAATCTAGTTTAACAGCTGATCTGGTTAAGAATCTAGGTAATTGGATCAAACTATATGTTTGGATCAACTTGGTTCTATCAAAAAACCAAGGCTGCTTTTAATAAAAATTATTACAATTAACTTGATTGGATTTCATCCGAGTTTTACAGAATCAATTGGATGGTTAGTTTTTTTTAGATAATAGTCGAGATTTTGTTGACTTCTGGGAAAATAAAAGAGCCACTAAATCAAACTGCCTAGCAGTACCCTGTTTTAAATATTCCTGGAAAAACCTGCATCTCTCTTTGTCTCAAGCCAACCTGATGCACGCCATAAACGACAAAGATCTTAGAACAATGCAATTATATCATGCAACACGTACCCATAAAGAAAATATGTGTAAGCAAGAAAGGGAATTGCAGACATGCAAAAGAAAGGACAAAATTACATGCAGAAAGTATTAACAAAAACTGAGTAAACCGAATTGCCACGTCCCAGATGCGAAACCCACAATCTTGCACATAAATACCAGCCCACTTCACCCTGCAATTCCACAACACCATAGAAGAACTACAATAAGCATGGGTTCTTGTTCTTTGTTATCTCTTACTCTTTGCTTTCTTGTTCTCTTCAACTGTTGCTTTGCACAAATAGAGCAAGTACCCTCACGACATGGCCGGCAACAGCAGGGGCAACGACGCTCTCAACGTAGCGAATGTCAAATTGATAGGATCAATGCCCTCGAGCCTGCTCGGAAGATCAGATCAGAGGCTGGTGTCACTGAGATTTGGGACGAGAATGATGAGCAGTTTCAGTGCGCTGGAGTTGTAGTTATCCGTCATACCATTAACAACCGAGGCCTCTTGTTGCCTGCATACTCCAATACACCTAAGCTCATCTATGTAGAACAAGGCATGCATGCATGCAATCAATTATTTCTACTTAATGATGATAAAATTTCCCATCTACACTAAATTAATATTTCTTTTTGGTGTCAATGTAGGTAGGGGCATTCAGGGAGCTGTGTTTCCTGGCTGTCCAGAGACGTTCCAATCATCAGGAAATTATTCTCAAGATCGAAGAGAAAGTTCCGAAGACCAGCACCAGAAGATTCGACAAGTAAGAGAGGGTGATGTAGTTGCCTTGCCTTCGGGAGTTGCTGATTGGTTTTATAACAATGGTGATTCACCTCTCGTTCTTGTTCAGCTTCTCGACACAAGCAATCCAGCCAACCAGCTTGATCAGGATTTCAGGGTAAGAATCACAAAAATTCAAGCATGCGATGTCATAGAATAAGCATCACAAAAATTCAAGCATGCGATGTCATAGAATAAGCATCACAAAAATTCAAGCATGCGATGTCATAGAATAAGCATCACAAAAATTCAAGCATGCGATGTCATAGAATAAGCAAACAAGGATTACTTCATAAGCAAACATTAATTTTCCTTTTCAGGAATTTTTCCTGGCTGGAAACCCACGACAAGAATCACAAAGCCAAAGAAGCTCATACCAAAGAGGCCAATATGAAGGTCAACATGGACGCCAATATGAAGACGAAAGTCAGAGAGAACAGCATGAAAGATCTCGCAATATCTTGAGCGGTTTCAACGAGCGAATCCTTGCAGAAGCTTTCAACATTGACACCAAACTAGTAAGAAGGATGCAGAACGAAAATGATAATAGAGGAATCATTGTCCGAGCTCAGCATGAACTTCAGGTGATCAGTCCACGACAGAGTCAAGAGGAGGAAGAAAGACAACAAGAATCCCGAAGGAGCCCACGTCGTCGTCATGAGGACAATGGTGTAGAGGAAACTTTCTGCACAGCCAGGTTGAAGCTCAACATCAATGATATAGAAGATGCTGATGTCTTTAATCCACGTGCCGGAAGCCTCACTAATGTCAACAGCCTCAATCTCCCCATCCTTCGATATGTCCAGCTTAGCGCTGAGAGAGGTGTCCTTTACCCTGTAAGAAAATCTATGCAACCTTCATTAATTTTTTTTTTCACATTACACTACCTTTTCTTATAAAAAAAAAAAATTCACAATTCAAATTTATGGGAACTTGTACTGTAGAATGCTTTGATGTCACCACATTGGAACATCAATGCCCACAGCATAATGTACATCACAAGAGGAAATGGAAGGATTCAGATTGTTGGAGACAATGGACAGGCAGTATTTGATGGACAAGTTCGTAAGGGTCAAGTAGTAACAGCACCACAAAACTTTGCAGTGGTGATGAAGGCTGGAAGCCAAGGGCTCGAGTGGGTATCATTCAAGACTAATGACAATGCACAAATCAGTCAATTGGCAGGACGAGTCTCTACCATCCGGGGCTTGCCTGACGAAGTGGTAGCAAACTCATTCCAGATCTCAAGGGAAGATGCCAGGAGGCTTAAGAACAACAGGGAAGAAGTTAGTGTTCTTAGTGCGTCCCATCAATCACAATATGAAAGGGATTAAGATTGCATCTATGCAATTGCAAGAGGCTTTATGTATGAATCACGACAGAGAAAGAAATAAGACTTAGCGGCATAAAATGTGGTCTAGTTTTGTAACTCGTACTATGCTCGTATTATGCAGAAAATAAAATGTTCTCTGTTTTTTTAGTCGGTTCTGCTTTTGTTATTATGATTTTTCCTTTCCATTTGAGTAAAATTAAAAGCTGTTCCATCTATGAGATTAATTCAGGTAAAGAAAAATAAATAAATAAATAAAATGTTAAATATATGCCCTTATGTAAAGGAAATATCTATGGACAGACTCTGATAAAGTGCAGCAATTGATTTTGCTTATTTTGAAATAAACCTTAATGATATAGTTTTGAAGTTTTTGTTTTTATCATTTAGCCTTTAAATATACAAGAACTCAGATTAAAAAAATTAAAATATGAAGACTTGAATAAAAATCTTGACAAAAGTATAAAGATTAAATTGGTATTATCTCTTAGGCAGCATTTGCGCATTGTCTTGATATAGAAAAAAGACCAAGATAGTGAAGCATATCCTCAAAGGATCAAAATTATTTTAAAAATAAATTTATTATATATCTATATTTTTATTTTTTTAACTAAACATATTAATGTATTTTCTATATTTATACCTTTTGTTTTAAAACATTAATCAAATGCAACCATAAAATTAGGTGGTCACAAGTCACCATAGAATAAACACAGAATGAAGAGCAAGTTTTTCAATATTTCTTAACATGCATAATGAAATTTATGTAATAATAATTAGAATTACCCATGCTTCTACTCAAGCAAACCTTTAATGACTTTGATGGGATTAATTTAGGTTATTATTTATGCACTTTGCTTTGAAAGGAAATGGTCTAAGTGGAAGTTTGGTTCGAATATCCGGCTTATTTCAAACATTTATTTGGTACGATTGTGAATATGAAGTTGCTTCAAGTTATATTGTTTATTCTTACCAAAATTAAAAATAAAAATATATCCTTAATATGCAATATATAGTGGGTCAAATATTTTTTTAATATAAAATAAAAATTATCAAGGTGTTGATAATTTTTTTCTAATGAAAAAATTAAAACATGTATATGCATGTAGAAGTTGACTTGATATAATTTGATTTATTTGGTGAGTTCAAAAACATCTTAAACAATTGGTAAAATTATAATTTGACTCATAAAAATTTAAGATGGTATTTAAAAAAATGACAATATATTAAATCAGCCTAAGTTAATTTGTTAAATTCATATCCTGAATCATAAGATCATAATAAATTTATATAAAACAAATTAAAATAAATTATAAAATATAACTTTTAATTAATGAAATATTAAAGGATAAATTTAAAAAAATTAATTAAAAAATTTTAAAAAAAATCTGAGTATTAAGCTAAGACTAGGTTTGGAGCTCTTAAGGTCCGGTTGAAACTATATATGAGTCACTTAAAAGGCTGACCATGATTAAATCTAAAAAGTTTGTGGACCAGGTTGAGACTGGCACGAGGTAATCAAGGGTTGGACCAAAACTGACATCCCTAGATTTCACAAAACTGACATCCCTAGATTTCAAGAAAATATTATATATATGCATTCCATCGTTTGGCCTAGCGGTGGAAGGAGCTTGTCTTCTTCCACTGTCATGGGTTCGAGCCCTGGTGTGCACGCCTGTCACCCCCGCGGTGCCTTACATGTCTACTGGGTTTACAGGATATTTAGTGGGCCATGGGGATTAGTCATGGCGCGCGTAAGCTGGCTTGGACACCCTACGTAAATAAAAGAAAAAGAAAATACTATATATGATCAGGGATCAAGTCAAGATTAAATATGAGGTGCATAATGGTCAAATTGAAATTGGGTTTGAGGCTTCCAGATTGGATCTAAGCTGGGATGACGCTAGGTTTATGACACTCCTGGTTGAGTTAAAAGATCTTAGTAGGTGTGTGGTTATGATTTGGAGATTAAAAAAATAAAAATAGATAAAACAAGATAAAAATTGAGATCTAGATATAATTATGTTTGATAATAACATATAAAATAATTGATTTTCTCTTGACAAGATTAACAAAATATAAAATAAATATATTCTATCCTTTATATATATATTGCTATCAAAACTTATATATTTAAAAAAATTGATTTTTTTATCTGTAATTTATATTGAGTGTTGAAATTAATAATATTATAATAACTCTAATGATAAAAACAGGAAATCCGAGGTTTGAATTGATTCGAGTTAAAGAAGAAATGGAGAAATGATTGACTTGATTTGACTTGGTCAAAAACCCAGGTTAAATTGAAATAAAATACGGGTAAACAATTTGTTGATTTTTTTGAAAAATATTAAAAATTTTATGTTAGCTGAGTTGGCTTTTCCGACCTATAACCTGAATCTTGCCTTAAGTGAACTCTCGAGTTGAGTTTTGAAATTATGATAATAAGTACTTTTATATATACATTGACTCTATTCAAGTTGTGTTGACCTTTCTAACTTATAACTTAGGTCTTGCCTTGATTAACTTCCAAAACAATGATAATAATAATTTTGATCTTTACATTGATCTAAATCAACCTGGGTTAATTCTCCTGGTTTATAATAAGAGCCTTGCCCTAGGTTAACAATCAAATTAAAATTATGATAACAATCATTTTTATTTTATATTGATTCAAGTCAACTCGGGTTCGTTCTCCTAACACATGACTTAAGTCTTAAAAACTATAATAATAATTATTCTTGTCTTTATATTAACTTGAGTCTAGAGTCAACTTTACTGATAACTTGAGTCTTGCTCCTAATCTACTATGGGATTAAGTTTTAAAATTATAATAATAATTATTTTTATTCTTATACAAACTTGAGTCAACCCTATCCATGATCTAGGCATCGATCGGTGACCCGGGCTTTACCCCGGGTTGATTCTCGAGTTGAGTTTAACTACTATGATAATAATTATTTTTATTTTTACATATCTTAATTAGACAATTTTAAAATTGAAAGTTTCTTACGATGATATTTTAATAATAAAAAATAATTAATATTATTTTTGGAGATATGTTATATACAACTCCTATTTTGAAAGTATATAAATCCACTTAAAACTTATTCTAGAAATAAATTTATTTTTATATTTTTATTTTTATCTCTTTAATTAAATATATTTTTATTTTAATCATTTTTATTTTTTTTATCACAAAATAATAATCAAACGCTAACTTAGAGTTACATAGATTAGGTTCAATGTGATTGTTTCAAAACTAGTGCATTGGATATTGATTTGAAAATAAGGACAGGTACATGCCCTCCAATTTTGGATAATATTTGAGGACTACTAATTTGAGTATGCAGTTTAGACTATTAAAAAGGAAAAAGAAAATGCTAAAAAGACAAATGATACCAAAGGTTACCTAAGTATTCATTTATGCCTTTCAAGCTATATAAAGTTGAACCTTACTCACATCCAAGATAACGAATCAAGAGGCCATATGTTTTCACATGAGGATGACAATAGGTAATGAATGGATAGTTTTAATAACCCTCTCCCAATTCAATCTTTTTATTATCTTCACCAGCATCCTATCCACATTCTGTCAAATCTTAGTGGAAGAAAGGTCTTTTCCATTTGTTGCCAGCTTGATTAAGAAAAAATAAAAATTAATCCCTCAAAAGAAACATCAATTTAAATTTCACATGGTACAAACAAATATTACACACCATATACTCTATTATTAAAACCAGCAAAATATAATTCTAAATTTAAAAACAAATTAAATGTATAATATAATTATAAAAATCAGGTCGAACCCAAAAAAAATTTATTTAATTTTTTTATAATATACTAAAATAAAAAAATAGGGAATTTGAATAAAAATTTAAGAAATAAATTTATAAAAATAAACTAATAAATTTATATGTCATTAGTTTATTTCAAAGATCTAGACATTCATTCCTATAAATTTGTTAATCATTGAAGTAAAATAAATATCATTTTAATCTAAGCAAATAAATTTGATGTCCCTTAAAACTAAAAGGAATTGAGGAGATTATGAGTAAATTAATTAGAAAAATTTTCTAATTAATTTCTTATCATCAAGCGAATTTAATATTGAAAAGGAATTTTAATTCACTCGTTAGTAGTCTTAGGAGAAAAGTCTATAAAACTTATTCTAAACAATCGTTTAAAAGTTTGGTAATTTAACTTAGTTTATTCCTCTCTAATAAATTAAAATAATAATTGCAACAATCAAGTTAACTTCTTTACTTCTTATTCTAGTAAGTAACAATAATTATGGATTGAAAAAAACTAGAAAGAATATATAACAATCTTCATTCATGAAATGTTAAAGATTTGATTTATATTTTTTTTGGATTCTAATGTCTACCATCTTTATATTATACTTTTGATCATAGTAGAATGCTCAATATTATTGGAAATATTTATATATATACTTTAACTTTTATTTAACTTATATTTTTATTTTGAAGTTATAACTCCGTAAAAATCCGTCACAGGAAATAAGGTTTGAAATAAATAAAAAATCAAAATTTTTATTTTGTAGGAATTAATTCATAAAATATTTTAGATATGCCAAACTCATAAAAATAAGTTTTAATAAGCTTTAAAAAATTAAGAAATATAATGTAAAAGGAATAAAAACATATATACTTTTTGCACTAATTAATACCCATTAACCTTTTTTAAAACAATTTTAAAATATAATACTAGACGTGCTTAAAAAATATTTATTTCATTAAATATAATTAACAATCCATATATACATATCAAAATCTCTTCTATATTTGAAAATAATATATATATTATTGATTTATGTGCTTATTTTTTGTTAAATAACTTACATAATGTATTTTAAAAAATAAATCAACCTGATTAGTAAAATTCTTGCTCAATTTAACGGAGGTCAAAGTGGATCAATTGAAAAACTTGATCCAACTAGATTTTATGATGTTGATTACTTGATGATAGTATGAAATTATTATC